GTGAGGGCACATGTGCACGGGTGTGTTAGCGTGTGCGTGAGTGTGCATGACGGCACGCGTGTGTGCGTGAGGGCACATGTGCACGGGTGTGTGTTAGCGTGAGTGTGTGCGTGTGACATCACGCGTGTGTGCGTGTGAGGGCACATGTGCACGGGAGTGTGTTAGCGTGTGCATGAGTGTGCATGTGTGTGACGGCACGCGTGTGTGCACGGGTGTGTTAGCACATGAGTGATGGTGCACGCACGTGTGAAATTATGAGTGTGCATGTGTGAGGGTACGTGTGTGCACTCGTGAGCATGTGTGTGCACGAGCACAAGCCTGCCTGGTACCTGGCAGAGCCCGGCACTCGGGTGGGCAGAGCACCCTGGTAACAGGAGCCAGCTGGGGGACATCAGTTTCCATCGAGGGTGGAGCCGTGAGGGGTCTGGGCGGGCCGGTGGGCTTCTGTCCTTTTCCTTTCACTTCGGAGCAGTGTGCGAACCAAGCCTCTCTGTGAACACTCGCCTGGGGTCAGCCCCTGCCAGTGGGAAACAGGTGGTTGGGCTGCCCGGGGCTTCTGGCCTCAGCCTGCTTGCTTTGCTCAGCGGGGCTGGAGGGCTGGGCTCAGCCCTGGGGGTGGGGGTGGGGGCGTCACCGGCCTGCTGGGCCCTGCACAGTCATGGGACTCGGTGAGACGTCAACAGTGTGGAGCCCCCTCCCCCTGTTCTTGACGGGCTCAGACTGTAGTCACCTTTGCTGAGCGAGGTGTACTTTCTTGGGCTGTTGCAACCAGGGATGAAGATTGGGGGATACGTCGGGGAAGGAGAGGGAAAGCGCACATTTTTCAGGAGTGCCATTTGCTTCCGATGTTAATCACAGGTCTGTTTCGCCTGTGCCCCCAAAATAAGCTCCTTTGGAGCATTCCGTCGGGTGACCCAAAGCCTTTCCTTACACTGGTCAGTGACCTGTGCATCTGAGTTGCCTCCTTGAGAAACGCTCCGAGGCTCCATGACGATCTGCCTTCTCAGGAGCCGCTCCTGGGGGTGGGGGTGGGGGCGCAGGGCTGTCCCTTGGAGGCAACAGGGTGCCCTGCTGACTCGTGTCCCCGCTTCATTGATGGCCAGCGCTGGGCCGTCTCCTCGCTGACCGGTCGCGGGCTGTGGGCGGTCCCAGCAAGGGCGGCTTCTCGGGCCAAGGTCTTTTGGGGGAGGACCTGGGTGCAGAGTCCTGGCTGTGAGCCGTCGGTACCCGGCACGCCGGGGCCTCGGTAGGATTGGTGTCCTCACACACAGAGACACGAGAGCGCTCGCTCTGCACACACACACCGGCGACGGGCCGCATGAGCTCCCGGACACAGCGCTCTCGGCAGGCGCTCGGTTCGCAGCACCTTGATCGTGGACTTCCAGCCTTGGGAACTGTGAGAAACGAGGGTCTGTTGTTCAAAGCCACCGGGTCCGCGGTATTTTGTTCGTCGGCCCGGCTGGCTGAGACGAGGCTGGAAGCCGCTGCCATGTGAAGGCTGCCGTCCGCGGGCACTGCGGCTCCTGTGAGGCGTCTGGGGAGTTCTGTGTCCCGCACCCCGTCCTAGCGGCCTCGTACTAACCCGAGGGGACTAGTGTCACCGAGGGGAAATCGATAACTGCGACTGCACGCGGATGGAACGTTTCTGTGGCCACAGATGCATAAACAGAGGTGAACCTCAAGCAAATGGATGTTGCCAATAAAATGCAAACAGATGCTGACCCTCCCCCAAAATAAATGCACATAGAACCCCTCTGTCGTTGGCCCGAAATGGAAACTCTTGGAGAGTGCTCACACCTGGTAACGCAGGGCGTGTACGTTCTGCCTGCTTTGGTGGACGGCAGTTTGGAAATACTTATCAAAATCTAGACTTTCTCAGGAGGCATGCTCCTAACACGCAGCACGGATGTGTGCTGGAAGTAATTTGCAATAGAAGAAGCTATAGAGGCGCCTGGATGGCTCAGTCGGTTAAGCATCTACGTTCAGCTCAGGTCATAATCTCAGGGTCCTGGGATCGAGTCCTGCATCAGGCTCCCTGCTCAGCGGGGAGTCTGTTTCTCCCTCTCCGTGCTTTGTGCTCTCTCTCTCTTTCCCCCTCTCAGATAAATAAATAAAAGCTTTAAAAAAAAGAAGAAGCTATAAACAGCGTACGTGCACATCGACAGTAGAGCTGATGGGTCCTCCCGTGGGATACTGTGCAGCTGTCAGCAGGGACAGAATCCCGGGCGCTGCCGGAAGGATCTCCAAGGAAAGCCCTGAGCAGAGTGGACAGAGGCCGGCCAGCGCGAGCCGGGTGTCCAGCGTCCCTGACTCGTTCCTGGGGGGTGTGCAGGAGGCCGCTGATGGCTTTCACTCTCTGTGCCGTGTTTTTGTACAGTGATTTTTTTTTTTTGGATATGAATGTCACACGTATATTTTAGAAGGTGTTCATTTAAAAATCTGTAACTGACAAAGAGTGTTGGTGGGAGCTGGGGAGTTTCTGGTCATTAGAAGCTCCTGTCGGTCTGCAGGCATTGGACGGCGCTGGCGGCGTCCACACCGTGTGGCAGAGGCAGGCCTGGGCCGTGGGGCCGCCAGCCCCATCCCGGGCAGCAAGGATTGCCCAGGCAAAGTGCTGCTGGCTGCCACAGGCCAGCTCACGATGGACCTGTGTCTCCCTGAGTGTGTCCCTCCGTTGGTGAGCACGGGGACCCTCCCAACAGACGGGGTCTGTGTGTCCTAGGCCTGACAGGCCTCCGGGCGGAGGTGTCTCTCTGGGGAAGCTTCCAGAACCCTGCTGTTACGGAGGTTTAGACTTCTGCCCTTGGAGAGCTCGAGCGCCAGTGGGAAGGCTGGACAGGTTACAAACACACAGGGACCCAGCGTTGGCCAGGCTGCAGGGGGCTCTGCATGAGAAGCCGCGGGGCGGGCACGGCCGGAGGCCTCCTGCGGGGGCGGCCCGGGTGCAGGTGCTCCGCGTGCTCCCCAGTCTCCCTCTGTTCGGACTGCGCGGGCGCCGCCCCAGCACAGGTGTGTGTGGGGGGCGTGAGGACCCCTGTCAGTCTCCTCATTTCCGGGTGATTCTCTCCTAAGAGAGGGGTGTTCACGGCTGCATGTGACGCTGCCCCCCAGAGCGTGGGGACCCCGGCAGGGCTGGGACTGGGACGGGCCCCCTGCGGAGGAACCCCCTGGGGTGCCACCACTCTGGACAACTGCGACACGGTGGTGCTGGGAAGGCCCAGGTCCTGCAGCGTCTACACTGCACCTTGACCCTCGGCCCAACCTTGCAGCACCTTCAGGCGGTGGCGCTCGCGGCTCGGGTTCCGGGGTTCAGGGTAACGTGCCCCCGTCTCTGTCTCATCCTCCAGGAGAGCACTGCGAGGTGAACACGCGCTCGGGCCGCTGCGCGCACGGGGTCTGCAAAAACGGGGGCACCTGTGTGAACCTGCTCATCGGCGGCTTCCACTGCGTGTGCCCTCCCGGCGAGTTCGAGAGGCCCTACTGCGAGGTGACCACCAGGAGCTTCCCGCCCCGGTCCTTTGTCACCTTCCGAGGCCTGAGGCAGCGCTTTCACTTCACCATCTCCCTCACGTGAGTGTGGCCCCGCGTGTCCCCGCCTCGGCTCCTGCCACTAGAGCATCACGGGTCCCTGCCCCGTGTCTCTCCAGGTGCCCACGGGGCCATGTCCGCTGGTCCGGGCTGGCTGTAGGCCTGGCTAGCTGATCTGGGCGGCCCCCTGCAAGTCCTGGCTCAAAAATGAAGACCTTCAGGACCGCGGCAGCGGAGGGTTGAGCCCTGCGTGGGCCCCTTATGATGGCCCAGGTCACACGCTGTGAAGCCAGCCCTCGCCCTTCGGGTCCTGCCCACTTGCCGACACCCTGGTGGCCGGAGGTGGAGGGCGCAGGGGCCCGCAGCCTTGGCGCCAGGCGGCGAACTCAGCTGGGCTTCCTGCTTTGTGGCCCGGGGGCTGGCTGCCCGCAGCCCTGCTCCCCACCTGTGATCCAGGGTGTGGGCTTATCGTGTGCTGTGCTTGCTATTTCTGCTTCTGCTCCTCCAAGAGAATTTAGGTTTAATTTAATTCTAAAAAACCTGTCATTTCTACTTGAAAGATTTCTCTCAGGTTTCACTTAGGGAAGTGGGGTGTATTTTTTGTTTGGTCTTTAGTGCCGTTGTTCGGGGGCCCTTCAGGTGGTCTCCCAGTGGGAATGCAGCACCCCGTGTCCTTTGAGCAGGCACCCCAGAAGGCGGCTGCCCCTGCGAGCTGCCCTTTGAAGACAGGCTCCTCTCTGGGGTCCTGTCCCCTGAACGGGTGAGGGGTGCAGTGTAGCCAACGGGCCCTGGAGAGTGCAGGTGGGGGCTACAGTCCAGAATAGGTGGGAGTGAGGCCTGATCTTTTCGGTAAGTGGCCAGGACGCACCGCCATTGGCTCAAGCCCAGCGGAGCCAGGACTGGGGGCTGGCTGCCTCAAGGAAAGATGCGGTGCGTGCGCTGGGAACAAGGCGGGACGGCCCGGGGCAGGAGCTGGGAGCCGGCCTGTCCCGGTGTGAGGGCCACGCTGAGCGGTTGGGGCCAGTGTGCACGGCGCTTACTGAGCACCTGTCGTGCAGGACACACTCTGAGGTGAGTCAGAAGGGATTTTAGAAATGTCCCTAGGGATCTTAAAATCCAGTGGGAGGGACCCTGGATGTCAGTGCTGGGGAAAGGCCCCGATCACATGGAGGTCCCAGGAGAAGCCAGCTCTGCAGGGCTGGGCCGTTGGACATGTGGTTCAGGCCCGCTGACCTCTCCGTGTGGGCGTCCCCGAGTGCCCCTCCAGACCCGAGAGGAACCTCTCTCTTCAGAGCTGCTTGAGGCACCGGGCCCACCTTGGCCTCTCCCCGTACCTCTCACTCAGACAGGTCCTGTGAATCTCTTGTCCTTCTGTCCCCTGTCCAGACACTTTTCCCTTCCCAGTGCCCAGCACCTTGGCCCTGTCCTCTCTCCCTCCTGACCTGGTGTGACAGCGCCGGGCTCGTCTGCCTGGCCTGAGTCAGCCTGAGTCAGCCTGAGTCCTGCCGGGCCTGCCCACTGCCTGGGGTAAAGCCCATACTTCCTAATAGGGCTGGGGTCCTCTGTGGCCTGACCACTGGCACTCCCTGAGTCTGGCACCTTGTGCCCTGTGATGGGGCCGCCCTTGCTTGCTTGTGGTTCTCTGGACCTGCCCAGCCTCCCCCAGGCGTTCCCACATCCTGCTGGCCCGCCCACCCCCGCTGCTTCCTCCAGGAAGACCCCTGCCCAGGCTGGACAGCACATTTGGTCACTGCTGCTCGTCTCCTGCCCTCCCCTCTGGCGTCCTTGTCTGTGGGTTCAGGCCGCCATCGACCCTGGTGCTCTGTCTGTGCCTGTCTGCTGCTGGCCTGAAGCTGCTCGGGGGCTTTTCGTCCTATGTCCTGACACCCCAGACGTCCAGAGGTCAGCAGGCAGCTGGCCACTGCTTCCTGGCCTGTAACCCCGAGACTCCAGCTTTAATAAAATAACAAGAGTGTTGTGATCCATGGAGCCCAAGTGGGTGCTCGAGGCCCTGCCCTTTCCTGGGGCACCAGCGGGGAGGCAGGACACTGGACCCCCACTTGACCCTCCAGGCCTGGACGGCAGGTTCCTTTGACTGTAACAGCAGTTCTGAGGCTCGGGTCACCTGGAGGCCACGGTTTTGAAGTTGTTGCTGTTTGATTTCGATGCACAGCCCATGGCTCTGCCACGTTCTGTTAGAACAGCCAATGGGGGTCCCTGTCTGGGCGTGCTGTGAGGGCTCGGGGGTGCAGAGGACGTGGCTGGCTCTCTTGGTGCTTGGCCTGTTCCCCAGGCTGCAGCAGGTGTAAGTGGTGTCCGCCTTCAGCGCGGACGGCTCAGCGGGGCCACGCATGCCAGGAGCTGGGGCCTGGCTCTCTGCCCTCTGCCCACAAGACCTGTGTGCAGCAGGGCACAGCCCGAGGGCACGGCCTCCAAAGCTAGGGCTCTGCCGTGGGATCCCTCCTGGCCACTCTGTGCCCCACGTGGTGGAGGTTTAAAACACCGTGCTTCTGTGGATGTCCGCCCTCCAAACCAGAGGCGTTTTATGTCTTCTGGCAAACGTGTCCCTGGCGTGTGATGGGCGCTGGTTTGGGGCATGTGATCTTGACATCTGTATGGCCATGGCCACCCGCCCCCGGGGCGTGGCTGGCAGCCTGCGGTCACACGCTGTGCAGTGACCATGGGCAGCGGATAAGCTGCAGGGGGGTGGTCCCTGCTGGAGGCTGACCTAGGAGGTGACAGGAAGTCCCGGTGCGGGAGGCGGGCAGGCCGTGGCAACCCTGCCGGAGACCGACGGGAAGTCTGCTGGCTCCAGACTCAGAGAGAAGCTAGAAAATAACGCGTTTAATTAAATGTGCGAGTAACATAGTGGGATGTCCGCTTGCTTGCCCGGCTTAGCAGTTTCAGATGATTAAGTGTGGCGGCCATATGTGGGCCGTTTCCCGCCTGGGGGGCCGTGGCTGGGACATCAGGGCCCTGCTAAATCAGTGAGTGGTTTGTTAGGGAATGACTTCAACAGCAGAAACCGTGAAAAAGTCCTCCCAAACCTTGAGCAGAGCAGCTGCACTGCGGGGGCTGTGGTTGCCGGGCGGGGGGGGCCCGCTGCCTCCTGGGGGCGCACCGTGGGGCAGGGGGGCTGGGCGCCAGCGAGCAGCTTGTTTCAGGTGATTTCGACTCTCCTCTTCTAGTTCCTGTTTGCCAAGTGGCTGGGTTCCCAGGCGGGCCCCGCGTTCCCAGCTGCCTCTCTTCCTCCACCCCTGCCCCCATCCTCTGTTCTTTGCTTCTCCCCCGGCCGCTCGCCAGGTCTTGGTCTCTGTTTCTAGTCTTTCCTCTTTCTCTTGTGCTTTCTGGATCCTCCCCTTGGCCCTGGGTCCCCTGTTAGCGCTCCATGTCCAGCAGTGGACCTCTGGGTGCCTGCCTGGGGTGGGGTGGGGCCACGCAGCACCATTTGATGCCAACAGCCCATACCAGCTCCCAGCTTGGTCCAAAGAGAAAGCCACAGCAGTGCAACCTGCTGAGGAGAATTAGGTGTGTCCCGGCGAGTGTCTGTCGTAACCGTAATCTGTCCCCTTCTCCCGCCTGTTCACTCCATACCCCGAAGCGTCCCCTTCGCTGTATGGGTGTTTTTTCTGTGCAGTATGTTATCAGTTCTCACTGTGTCTTAAACAGAGGGGATTCGAGGTGTGGACGAGAACTGTTCATTTTAAGTAACTCACAGGAAAGCCTGGGGTCACATGCCTGCAGCCTGTGGTTCTGATAGACCCTTGCTGCATGAAGACAGATAAACCAACCTCGAATCCAAGGGAATAATAATCCCTGCCCCCACATCCAGCCCACTCGGGAAACTGTCCCGAGTTCATACAGGACACTTTCCAGGGTGTCTGTAAGCGGGGCGTCCAGGAGGCCTGGCTGTGACTCAGGGATCCCTGGCTTTCCTGGGACCATGGGGTTGGGAGAAGGATCTCTGAGGATGTATCTCTGGTTGAAATAAGTGGTTCTTCATGCTTCAAATGCGTGAAGTCTGACAGGTCTGTTTGTTTTCACGAATCTGCTTTTTCAGTCATGCTTCCATCCATTCATTTATTCAGCCCACCATTATTAAGCTTTTCTATGGGCCCTGTTTTGGGCTCCAGGATGCAGCAGTGAGAGTCATTCCCTCCCCTTAAGGATCCTAGGTTCTTTTTTTTTTTTTTTTTTTAAGATTTTATTTATTTGACACAGAGAGAGCAATAGAGAGCACAAGCAGAGGGAGCGGCAGGCAGAGGGAGAGGGAGAAGCAGGCTCTCCACTGAGCAAGGAGCCCGATGCGGGGCTTGATCCCAGGACTCTGGGATCGTGACCTGAGCCGAAGGCAGACGCTTAACCGACTGAGCCACCCAGGCACCCCTAGGATCATAGGTTCTTAAAAACAAATCAATAAGCAGTATAATTTCAGAAATGGACTGATGTGCTAGATTCGATGGAGGTGGGGGCACAGTGTGGATGAAATGAGTTATGGAAAGTGCAGTTTGAGTGTCTCCTGAGGGGTCTGCAGAGCCAGGGAAGATTGTTCCCGGCAGAAAGAGCAGCAGGTGCAGAGGCCCTGGGGCAGGGAGGCATGTAGTGTTTGGGAAGAAAAGGACCTTGTGTGCTGGAGTCTGGTGGTGGAGACAAGGGACAGAGGCCCCGAGGTAGTCATCAACACAGCCTCCCTGCGTGGAAGGGGACCGCATGCCTGTGCCCTGGGGAACATGCGTGGGGATCCGTTTCCAGGCGCAGAAGATGCACCGCACGTTTTTCTGTTCAGACATCTCTAATTGGTTAGTGGCTTTTAGGACACCGTTCAGATGTCATCTTTTCCAATTCTACAGGCCGTGGAAACCAGATTCCTCTGTGCAATCTGTTTGCCGTTTCCAGAAAAGAACATCGCTAAGCAGGTTTTATGGGCTGTCAACTGCTGATGAGAAAAATGAGTGCCCGGGGACCAGAGTCTTCCCTGAGTGTGGCCCCCCACTCTCGGCCGCTGCTGGCTGGGTGTGTCGCGTCTGGGCAGCCTCTTCCTTCTACAGCCGCCGCCTGCAGACCTTCCGAGCAGGGCTCGTTCGTTCTGTGATGTGCCTCTGCTTGGCCCCACAGGTTTGCCACCCGGGAGAGGAACGCCCTGCTGCTGTATAATGGCCGCTTCAACGAGAAGCACGACTTCATTGCCCTGGAGGTTGTGGGTGAGCAAGTGCAGCTCACCTTCTCGGCAGGTGGGCCCCCCCGGAAGGAGCAGCCCTCCAAGCCCCTCACGGGCACTTTGTCGGTGGGAACCACCCCGATCCCGGGTGGCGCCTTTAGCTGCGCTCACCCGCCAATCCCTGAATTCTACTAGGAATCCGTCCTGTTGGGGGCTGGAGGGGGGAGGATCCAGAATGCACAGAGGTGTTCATTGTGGCGTTCTTTAGGACGCCGAAAACACGGAAGACAGCTCAGATTCCCCACATGGGGACTCACTGTACATCCGTCGATTAAAAATATTTAAAAAGCCATTCACCGCGTTATCCGCGCTGTCGGAAGAGAGCGTTTATCCAGATGTCTTATTCGTGGCCCACTAACATGTGTTCTCTCTGGACCCCCTCCCCCCCGCCCGCAGGTGAGACTACAACCACAGTGACACCCCAGGTTCCCGGGGGCGTGAGTGACGGGCGCTGGCACTCGGTGCGGGTACAATATTACAACAAGGTAGGACGGGGTGCCCCCCCACGCCTCCCGCCAGCCTGGCAGCTTTTCTGTCTCAAGTCATTTATACTCCGAAGTTTAAAAACGTCTATACTGGCTGGAAACATGACTTAGGCAATGAGCATTTGTAGAGGGTCCATGTGCTGGGTGGGGAGACTCAGGGACCCCCAGGGATCACCCCGCGGTGGGGAAGGCGTGGAAGGCGTTCATGCATTGCGGCGACCTTGGCTCGAGCTGTTACTGGTGGCTGTGATTCTAGGCCATTTGCACGCAACTCCAAAGCCAGAATTATCCTCTCTGACGTGGACGTGACCCGAGCAAGAGTCAGGAGGGTCTTGGAGGAAAGGCTGCGAAGGTGTGGGCAGTTCGGGTTTCGTTTTATTTTGCTGTGCACGGGCTCGTGAGGAAACAAGGTTTTCATCAGGATGTTCCACTTGCCCTCGCTGTGGTTTTTGCGAGCCAGTTTTCTCTTTCCCGGGGCACTCCCGGGCGCCCCCACGGGGAGGTGAGGGACAACAGCCTGCTCCTGGGCACAGGTGGGGAGACGGTGCCCATGTCCCGGAGGGTCAGGAACCCCCGAGGACAGCCTGTGTCTCCGTAGCGTGGGGCACACTCACTCTGAGCTCAGCGACTGTTCTGTGTGCCTGGGTGCCAGTCCGCCCGCTTAGGCCCGGGGGCCCCCCAGAGCCCATGCTCTGTCAGGGAAGCAGAGAAGGCACACCTGTGACTTTTCCTTCCTGCTTAAGTGGGAGCCCACCTCCCCACGCCGGCTGAGGGCTTTCAGCTTTCCGACCGTGTCGGCCTTGGCACCCCCATCAGCGTGCCCGCACGTAGCATGTTCTGGAATCATCTGTGGATGGCCCAAGCAACTGTGTGTCACAGTTGAGCAGGGTCGGGACCCCTGATGGGGTCACCCCTGCTTAGGCACGCAGGGAGCATCCATCAGGGGCCTGCCTGCTGGCAAATCCCCCTGCGGAGGCCCCCCCCCCGGAATGCTCTGGAAGAGGGAGCCTCCCTCCAGGAGACGCTCAGGGGTGCATCCCTGCAGCCCGCCGTTTCCGTTCCCAGGGCCAGCCTTTCAGCAGCGCTGAGCCGCTGAGCCAGACCTTCAGCGCGGGATTAGGCTGCTCCTTTCCTGGGGCTCAGCCACTTCCTCTCTTGCCTGAGGTTATTCCATGTATGTCTTAGGCCTCCGTGATGGGGTTTGCGGGTCACACTGTCGGGAAGCGTTCGGTGCACATCTGTCTCGCGGGGGCAGGGCGGGGGGGAGCGTGTTGTTTCTATGTGACTCAGCGCCCCAGGCTCTTAATGTTTCCAGATGCAGTGACGTTCTTCGGCGTGGCCCGCAGCTGGGCAGGGCTCAGCAGGTCGCAGGCACATTGGCAGGGGCGGGAGGGCTGCTGGCCCCGAGGCAGGACACCCCCGGGATAAGGGGTGAAGGTGATTCAGGAAGTGGTCCCTCAGGGCTGGTGGCTCTGCCCTGTGGACCCTTGTTCTGTGGTCCATGCTGACTGTGGTCCTACCTGCCTGGGCCCCCTCGCCTGCGCTCTGCGTACGAGACATAATTCAGGGCAGTCCGGGAGGGAAGAATGGTGGAGAGTCAGAGGCCCCCTCTTGCATCACGCCCTGCGCTCTCCCACTGCCCGGCTCTCGCTCACATGCCCTCCCTGGCCTCCTGTTTCTCAAGGTGTGGTCTGCTCTGCATGTCTTGCATCCTGCGGGGGAACCTACGGAGGCCCCTGCAGACCCTCCCCAGGTCTGCCCGGGCTGTCTTATCAGGCAGGGTCCTCACAGGAAACAGGGAGCCCTCAAACAGGATGGTCTCAGCAGGGCTTATTCCCAAAACGGGGGGCAAGGCGTGGGGCGCCCACGGGGACTAGTGTGTGACCCCAGACGGTGGCAGCAGCAGGGCTGTGAGCACCTTCAGGCCTGGAGGAACAGGGGAGGGCAGAGCCCACAAAGGTAGAGTCGTGGAGAGAAGCCACTTACGTGGGGTAGTGACCTTCCGCGGAGGCCCTCCTGGTGGCTCACGCTGCCCTCCCTCTGATCTCCTGTTGGGCTCCCATTGGCCAAAGCCAGCCAGAAGCCAGATGCGGTGAACCCTTGATGAGGTCCATATGGGTCGGCCTCCCGTGGAGGGAGCAGGCCAAAGTCCATTTACTTTTTCTCTGCTTAATAACGTTGTAGACGAGAGGGTCTGTTGGTGTCATTTGCCTTCCATGAAGGGAAGACGCATGAGAGCTGGGCTTTTTCCTGGGAAGGTGTTTTTGAAAGCAGACACTTTGCACAAACATGTTGGACTTCGTCAAGCGCGGCAGAGCCCCTCCCATGCCCCCCTGCTGAGGTTTGGGGCTGATCTGGAGGATTTGTGATCTGACTCTGTCGCACATGTGCATTTTTTCTGAGGCTATTTTGCAGGATAAACATTTGCATCACCAACGTGCAGAAGCGTGAGCGTACCCGATGGGGAAGGTTATGCCTTTCCCACTTGGAACTCAGGCTTGGTCGCAGGGCGGCCGGGGGATGGGGAGAAGCACGCTCCCTATGGAAACGGCTCTCATGTGGGCATCTCATCTCTTTGCTCTTCCTGGAGAGAACTCTGTGAAAGGGGGTCTCTCACTTCCTGAGCAGCTGCTCTGTGCCTGGGGCTGCTCTCATGCTGGGCATCTGCAGGGGTCCTGTGGAGGCCGCTCGCTTTGCTCCAGCATCTCTCAGCCCGGGGCTGGGGGCATAGACACGTCATCAAGGGGATGTTTAGTAAGATCCTGGGGAAACACGGATGGCTCGTGTCTCCCTCTCCCGTGGCATCGGGGAGTGTCTGCCCACGCCAGCCGTGCCCACTAGGAGTCTGCAGGGCGACCTCCCAGCCGCTGGGCAGACACGGACCTTGCAGGGCGTGGGGCTTGGAGAGAGCGGGCTGCTGGAGGTGGTGTGTGAGGCAGGGCCACATCGGCTGGGGATTTGGATGTTGGGCGAAGAAGGGACTTAGGAGGAAGTGAGGTGTGTTAGGCAGGTGTCTCCACCTCGGCACTGTTGACACCTCTCAGTGGTGGCTCATTCTTTGTTCCACGGGCCTGTAGGGTGCTGAGCAGTGTCCCTGGCTTCTGTCCATTAGCGCCAGTAGCACCCCCCAGTTGTGACAACCAGAATTATCTCCCATCATTGTCATGTGTCCCCAGAGGCCTCAGCAGGGGACACTGCTGCTTTGACCGGCCACACGTGCCTGGACGAGGTGGTAGAGCCCCTCGTGGCTGGGCTGGCTGCGTGAGCCTTGGTGGGCTTGGCCTCTTCGGGCTCAGGGCCATTCTGGGATGATGTGCGCTGCCTTTGGTAAGCGCTGGAGATGTTTTCATAAAGACAGGAGAGGTCCGGCTGAGGCTGAATGGAAACTCTCCCCTCCAGCATCAGTGTCCTCTGCTTCTAATAGGGCGGAACATCCAAATGCCTGAGGTTTCCATGACCTTGGGGAAAGGGGCCACGCAGAGCAGGGGTCATTTGGAACTACTCTGCCCAGCCACACTTCCGACCCTGTGTTTCTTCAAGTCACTCCTAACCTTGTGGGTCTGACCTCACATTAGAACGCCAGGTGTCCTGACGGAAGTGGGTGATGTGCGGGCCAATGCAGAATAATGGCCCCACACGCCACACTCTGGGGTCGGACGGGGGAGGGGGGTCTCCCTCTGCTTTGCTGAATGTTCCAGAAAACTCAAGGGCTTCAGAGTGATAGGCGTGTACTTCTTTCCAAAACTGTGCAAATGGCAGCATTTGTAATTGTTGTTTTTTATAGGCGGGGAAGCATCATTCTCTTGTAGAGCCCAGCCTACAGAAACTGAGGAGTTATTCAGTAGAAAGGAGGGTCGTTCATGCAGCACAATGTCACACGGCCATGAAAAGTGATGAGGTCGTGCTCTGTTTGCTGATGTGGAAAGATCTCTAAGAATGTTGTTCATCGGTTTAACAAGCACACTGAAGACCAGGTCGTAGACCGTACCCTTTTTTTTTTTTTTAAGATTTATTTATTTATTTGAGAGAGAGAGAGCACATGCACGCGGGAGAGCATGAGCAGGGGGAGGGGCAGAGGGAGAGGGAGAGAGAGAATCCCAGGCAGACTCCCTGCTGAGCACAGAGCCCCACTCAGGGCTCAGTCTCACAACCCTGAGATCATGACCTGAGCCAAAATCAAGAGTCGGATGCTTAACTGACTCAGCCACACAAGCACCCCGGACCATACACGTTTTAATTTCAAATTGCAAACTTTCAGAAAAGTTGCAAAATTAAAACAAGAACTCGTATTCCCTTTGCCCAGATGCCCAATTGTTGACATTTTTCCACTTTCGCTTTATTATTCTCTATCCCTCACCCCCCCCCACATGTATCCTCCTCCTATTGCACCTGCTGGTCTGAGCACCCTCAGTGGTCACACCTGTGTCCAGTGTCGCTGTGCTGAATGTTGGCTGTGTTCTAATTCCATCAAGCTCTCCACATGTATTGGTTGGTTTTCTGCTGTACAAGGAGTTCTCTCTTCTTTCTGTGTATTTATATTACTATGGTTTCACAAATTCCTGTTTTA